AGATATTGTGCTAGCATACTCGCGCTACTGTTGAGCAATGCCAGACCGAACTTCCGGACCTCAAATGTTGTGGGCGGGACTAAGTTCGGAATGGCACCCAGGCTAAGCTTCAGCTGCTCCAGAGAGCTGCAGAAAACAGCCGTCACTTTCTGCAACATCTTCTTTGCGGGACTTAAATCAACAGGAACAAATTGAGGAAACATTTAAGCCGATTTGAAACCTTCAATTTAAAGAAACTTGGAATATGTTGATACCATTATTTTCACGGCATTCGTAGAAACCCCCGCCAACCAGAGCAAGAAGATGTTTTAGGCTCACTACTAAAAAAAAACCAAACACGTTGCTTGATTATTCACCTTGAAGGCCCAACCTTTTAGCTCAAGTGTTTAACTTTACACAGAGAAAAATACAAACGCCCCAAAAACCTTTTTTGCCTATAAGTACACTTGAAGTAAGGAGCTTTGTCACAGAGCAGATGTAGATCAGCCTGTTTTCAACATGATCAGTAGTTTTATCAGTCAATAAATTATTTCTCTATGAAAAACAGGCTGTTACAGTTCCAGTCGTTGTACCTGTGGAAACTTAGAAATGACAGAAAAGTCTGCATAACATCCGACCTTCTACTGCAAACGAGAAACGAGACGAAGAACTCAGCATCCAGTGGCGGCATAGATCAACTCAAGTAGAAGCAGCCGGTTGGAATGGTTGTAGTGCAAAGGCACACAAAAACTCTTCTCTATATATTATTCAAACATCTCTCTCTCTCACACAGTGCAGTCCAGGTGTGCCTCATTAGCATCCAATAAATATCCCTATTTACAGGTGTGCACCTCTGTCCTCTCTCTGCAGGTGTTGCACTTGACGTAGCAGCACCACAGGAACTTGCAGTTGCACTGCCAAACGTGGGAGTACTGGTTGGTGTTGTATCCCCGGCCGCAACACATCAGGTCGCAACTGTTGGGTTGCAGGGCCGTCTTGTTGCACAGGCGCCCCTGCGTCCCCATGCTGCCAGTCAGCTGGTCGGCCTCGCAGTAGTTGGGCGAACTCTCGATGTAGACCAGCTCCGAGTCTTTAGGCTTGTGGTAGGAGTGGGGTCTCTTGATCTTGAGGAAAGTGGGACGCTTGTTGCGGCTGGCCCGAACCGGCTCCACGTGAACCGCCTGGTTGTACTTGTCTTTCAGGAAGTATCCCAGCTGCCGGAACTTGGGAAGTGTCATCCAGCAAGTCTTGGTGGTGCAGGACCCAGAAACGCCGTGGCACTTGCACTCCAGACGCATTCCCTTCTCCAGGACCTACAACACAGACCACAAGGCCATGAGAACAACATGTTACTACACAGGAAATGACCTCACACATTAAGCACGTTCTAAAGTCTCTTGTCTCTGTTGCATTTCAAAGCCAGTGCAGAGAAATATATCCCTTTGTTAAAAAGCACAACATTTTTTAATAATCATTGAACAGGTAGAGCCAAAGGTTCCAGGTATTTTGGGTGAATGTTAGCATCCTGGATTCTATCATTCTATGATCTACAGTGTGCCATTCTATGGATAATAGCTCTGCCTATTTGCTTCCAGTCAATCAGAGAACTAATATGAACATGTGACCAGTCGTCTGCCAAAGCTAACATGGAAATTACATCCAGCCCCTCTGCGTCTCCCTACGCAGCAACAGCAACGTTAGAATATCAGGTAGCTAGAAAAGAAAACCCAGAACAGACAAATGATGCGTAAAGCTAGCTGTGCTAATGCTAAGGTAAAATAAACATCAGCTGCACTGTGTCTCCTGGACAACATCTGGTTCTGTTTCCTTATCCTGGTTCTGATCCATTGATGGTGTCCACCACTGGAGAACCTCTAGAACCAAATGTGCTGCTCTTTGTTCCTAGAATAAATGCTTCCTCTGACCTTCTTTATCACCACACCAACATCCAGAAAGTCCAGTTAACTTCAGGAATTTCTTCTCCTTCTGTCTCCATCTGTAGAATATTCCGGTGAGGCTCCAGAGACTTTAGAAGCCCCAAGTGGGCAGCAGGTTGTTGGATCCTTCCTCTCCTCCTGACCTCAGTGGACCTGCAGCTTCTCATCCTAATGCTGATCAAATGTTCTCCAGCCCCTAATAAATCCTCAGAGCTACAAGGGAACCGAGCTCATTCTGCAGATAAGATGAGTTTTCCCTGACCTTT